GGTATAGTGACGCCAGCTTTCAGACCGACAGAGATAATTTCCGCTCTCAGTCGGGTTGGTTTTTTTTACCCTGAATGGAAGAGCAATAACTTGGAAAAGTTCCCGTAGCTGATTCAACGTGTGAATCAGAGTACATAACAACAAGTGAAGCATCGAAGGAGGCGATATGGTTGAAGAGATTCATCGGAGACCTTAGAGTTGTACTAGATATAAAGGATCCTATTGAGATTTTTTGTGACAATGAGGGTGTGGTTGCCTTAACCAAGGAACCAAGGGATCATGGCAGATCCAGGCACATCGACAGGAAATATCACTTCATAAGACATCGAGTGGAAGAAGGACTCCTCATGGTAAAGATGGTATCATCAGATGAGAACATAGCAGAACCCTCATGAAGGGACTGAGTAGGGTTAAGCATTTGCAACATCCAAGGAGCATTGGGCTGAAGCATGATATTAGTTTTAATGATTAGATAGCTATTTTGAAACTTGTAATAGATAAAATGTAATTGACATTTGATGATTAAATAAAAGGTGTTTTATTTATGAGTAAAGTTACTATCTTGTGTCAATTGTTTACTATTGTTTCATTTTTCATGTTTTGAATTCCAGAATAATTGTATTATTCAAACCTTCCACATTCGATCACACTTTTGAAGTAGGTATTGAGGCAAGACTGTCATGAATTTGGCTTGTAGATTGTCTGAAGTGTTATAGACATAGCAAGAGATTGCTACAACATTCATGAGTGCTCATAAGTCCTGAGTATTGGATTAAACCCACACTCACTTGAACCACTTCATGGAATTTATCACGAGTGATTGTGAGACGATAATGTCATATAAGTCTTAAAACCAAGATATATGAGTTGTTGACTATGAGTTGGTTGTACATTGATAGTGCGAAAACGCATCAGTAACTTGATGTTATAAAACACATTGTTGTGTATGATTTAACAAATAGTTAGTACAAGCATATAATGTCTAATTTTATTTGTTCCTTTTAATTCTTGGAGGATTAAAAGTGATATCTTGGGCCCCTCAATGAATTTGTTTTGACTTATGTGTCGGGCCCGGTCGGGACTAAATTGATGTGTTTAATTAAGTTCTCTGTTAAACAAATCGGAAACAAGAAACAAACTGCTGCATAATAAGTATGACATTGTTCCATGTATTTGTGTGGCTGATATCTTGAAGAAAAGAGGATTATATGATCCCTTATCTAAAGGACGTGTTACTGACTAGGTCATAGTTCAACAACGTCTTTTAAGAGCTACGATTGCTAGTTAGTTTTAAGTTGTACTTGCAGTTTTAGTTATTAGGCTTATCAAAGTAGGAGACTGTTGGATTAGGTGTCTAAGCCCGTAACTATAATTGGTACGTACTTGAACCGAGAGTAGCATGGTCCTTTTGGTTTGCCTTCGCTAATGCAACTTGATAGGATAAACTTTTGAGAATAAGGTTATTTTTTATTTCTTAATATATTACAAGTATAATATATTAATATGAAATCATATGATTTAATTAGTATTGATCAAGAATTAATTTGGAATTAATTTAGTGATCAAAAGAGACTAATTAAATATATGCGGACGATTTGATAAATCAGTTATTCTTATAGTGTGAGCCAATGATTCATGGTTATTTAGGATGGGCTAAACCAACATGGATAGTCCATGGAGGTTTAACCCATGGAGCCTAAGTAATATGAACAGTCATGGTGCATTAGGGTTTGTACGGATGTAACCCTATCACTTGTCACACTGTAAAAGGAACTCCCTAGAGCTACAATTGGTTGCCACATACATTCTTGGAGAGTGTAAATCAATTTTGTGCTAAGCAACTTATTCTCTCAAGCCTTCTTTTGCACTTGGTGTTTGTGAAACATTAGAGGCATCACATTTGAGGTGCTAAAGCTTTTGAAGGACAAGAACTACAAGTCCTATTAAGAGGTAAGTTATCCAACTAGTTATATTGTTCAATTGTTAAATGGTATGCTAGTTAGGATGTATGCTTTGGAAAATCAAATTGCATGTATAATTAGAGAAAACATATATCCAAAGCATCTAGGGTTGCATGTGCACCATAAGGTTGTTAGAGTGCTCAAAATCCTTCAACATTTTCATGATACGAGGGTATTCCATCCCGATGATGACTAGACCCATCATAGGCACGCCTGGTATTCAAGCTCGAGGCTGATTGGGTCAGGTATGAGTGTTTGTGCTTGTGAGCTGGTTGTTATATGTATGTTTGTTCTGGAGTTAAAGGAAGCATTGTCTTGTCAGCACTAAAAGGTTCATCTCCCAGTTTATCTCCCATTGTCCATTATATCCTTGGAAATTTGGACATTAGAATGAGATTTCTCCTGAAAGAATATCTAATCTCTTTTGTCAAGTAAAGGATTGTTGGCAGCAACATATGATCAGTGATTCTGTTTTCTAGTGGTAACCCTAGGTTTTCAAGGTTGAGTAGTCAGTTTAGGGGATAAGGCGAAATGGAATCAACGATGGTTAGCATGGGCGGTATGTCCGGGAGTTAGACCGAATTCGAGATTCCAAATTGCAGATTTTCAGGTGAAGTAGGGTTGGTTTGTTGCGTGGGATTATGGATTGTTTTCTTTAGATTGGAAACTTTCTACTGGGTTTGGTCACCTTGAAAAGGTCATGATATATTCAAGGTTGTGAGTGTGTCCCTCAGGATGTCGGGCTTGCCAGGGATGGTAAAGGATGATTTCGAGGACGAAATCAAATTTAAGTGGGGGGTAGTTGTAACACCATGGTTTTCAAGTATTTTCAAATCCTTCCCTTGGTTGTTAATTATGTCTTTTTGGTCCTTGGATTAGAAGGAAATAGCGATGGGAAGCCCTAGTGGCAAGTTTGTAATTTGGGTGTGACAGGAGTACGCTAAGTGTATATATGAGTACGTTAAGCGTACTAGGGCGTATCCTAGTACCTTGCGCATACTCATGTCCGATGGGAACCCTAAGTTTTAGGGTTTACGGAGTATTTAAGCATACTTATGGTTATTGATCCCCACCTTTTCAGCCTCCAAAGTCTTCTAATCGTTCTTGCAAGGCCCTAACCCTCTAGAGTGTGATTATGAGCCTTAAAGTGTATTCTTTGTTATTTACAGGAAGGAGAAGTGCATCAAGGAGCTTGGAAGCTTGAAGCAAGGATTAGATTAGGAATTTTGGCCCCCTTCTCTATCATTTAAAGGTATAAATGTCATACCTTTGTGGTTTATTTGTTAGATCTCATGTTTGGGTCTTTTTATGCTTCTTCTTGGTCCATAGTGCTCCATCTTGAGCATGGCATGTTCTGGACGTTTTGAGATGTCCTTCTAGATCCTAGGAAGGGTCCTTAGTCATAAAAATGAGGTTCCTTGAGTTAGTTTGGCTCCATGTTCTTTGTGGAAGGTCTTAATGGATTAAGACCATGTCTTAAGGACTTTTTGGATGACCAAAGTCTTAAAGTTTGAGACTTTATGGTTATGGAACACTTTTGAGTCACGGATCTGTAATTTGGCTTAAATGCTTAAGCCATTAAGCAAACATTGGACTTTTGGAGCTGCGACGTACGCCCCGCGTACAGAGGAGTACGCCTCGCGTACTTGGTAAGCCTCCCCGTATCTTGTTTAATATGAGGTCTCGTGTACGCTGAGTGTACCTCCGGTGTATGGCCCGCGTACGCGACTAGAGCGAGCTTCATTGTTTTGGGCTTCGGTTATGGACTCGTTTTGCCTGCGGCCATGTTGGGCCATCTGGATTTTATGGTTTTGGCTTTTGTCTTGTTGGATTTTCTTGAGTGAAGGCCATGAAAGGGATTGGATCTAATTTGGAAAATTGGGCCATAATTGGGCCTTGGAGGATTATTTTGGATCTTGGGCTTTTGGTTTTTTAGTTTGGGCCTTAGTCTTGGGCCAAGTTTGAGGAAGGGTAATAAGGTCTTTTACCCTAAATTGTACTCATGGTGTGAGTTAGGAGCTAGTTAATGATGGGTTGTCATTTGTGCTATTTGATAGCGCGGGCTCTAGCGGTTCTACAATAATAGATCATTCGAGGGAGCAACTATTGATGGAGTGATCCCTATAAACGAATTTCGAGCTTCTTATTTTCAATACTTGCGCTGAGTATCACTATCAATATGACCTCCATCTTCATTACATTATTCGATCTCTCTAATTGCTTTCATCCCATACTCGATTTCTCTCCTGGTTCTTGCCCTTATCGATACTAGAAAAAAACACATTGGTTTGGTTGTTGGTTAATCTGACCTGAAGATTTGACAAAGGCCTAAGCATACTCCGTTGATCTCTATAGGTGTTCTCAGTTGCACGCACACAAAACAGAAAATCACCTCTCTCTCTCTCTCTCTCTATATATATATATATATATATATATATATATATATATATATATATATATATTTGATTTTCTGCTTTTGTGTGCGTGCAACTCTCTCTCTCTCTCTCTCTCTCTCTCTCTCTCTCTCTATATATATATATATATATATATATATATATATATATGATTTTCTGTTTTTGTGTGCGTGCGACTGAACTCCCATAGAGATCTACGGAGTAGGCTTAGGCCTTTGTCAAATCTTCAGGTCAGATTAACCAACAGCGAAACCAATGTGTTTTGTTTCCAGTAGCGATAAGGACAAGAACTAATCTATCCATCTCCCTCCCCCCCCCCATCTCTCTCTCTCTCTCTCTTTCTCTCAATCTTGATCTCGATCTCTCGAATCTCAAGGAGTGGAACATCTGGCTTTTAATGGACGAGGACAATCTTAGAAGAGGCTAGGATCGTTTTTCTTTCAAAGAATCTCTATTTGCAGGCAAAAATGATCCTTGATCTTTCATGTTGACAGAGTTAACCCCAAACACAATTCTTATTCAAAGCTGGTTTCCGAAAATTACCAATTAAACCATAGACTATATATATATTCCATAAAATTATTATATTTATTATTATTTTATTTATTTTTATTATTATACAACCCCTTATACCTTATATAAAGCCTTTTTTTTGTTAACTAACTCACTTGCCAATTGTACAAATTTTGTCTTTACTTGTATAATACTCAATTATTATTTATTGGCTCTATATAGTAACCTTTAAATGGAAACGGACGTTACAAAATAAAAACATATGTATGTTATTTTGATAATTTAATACAACTTTATACCCAACACTGGAGGGTATAAAACTAGTTATCGAGGTTCTAATGTTGTCATCGTTATGCCATTATTGGAAACAAGATAATGTTGAGGCACACTTCCTTTGGCAAAAAAAGCAGGTTGTTTAGGTCGAGGCAATACACCTTCTTCACCAAACATCAAAACCACAGATGACATAGTTGGTCTGTCATTTGCATGATGTTGTACACATAAAAGACCGATTTGTATCGATCGAAGTACTTCAGAGGCTACAAATCTGTTACGCATATTCACACCAAGCAACTCCACAGCCATACCTTCTTCAAAGAGTCTCCATGCCTAAATGTATATAGATAAAATAAAATAAAATTTATAAAGATAAAAATATCTAAAAAAAAACATTTGAGAAAATAATCCTATTAGGGAAATAGAAGAAAAGAAAAATATATTATTAACAAATTATAACTAAATGGACAAAGTCTAATTCATTTTCCCAACTTTGTCCATTAGGTCGTTCATTATGCGCTAAATGACACAACACTCATATATAGGTTAAGTGGAAATCCTTTCCGTATTGAGTTAAAAAAAAAAAAAAAAAAAAAAAAAAAAAAAAAAAAAAATCTTACATGTGCAAGAAGATTATCACTTTCATTGTCGTGAGAGAATCCTTTATTTTTTTTCCCACTTACTATTTCCAATATGAGAACACCAAAACTGAAGACATCTGATTTTTCGGAGAAAATTCCATCTAAAGCATACTCCGGTGATAAATAACCCCTGTAGGAAAATTTGTGAGGATTTAAATGTATTAAAAATATATATATATATGTATATAAAGAAAGTTGCATGGTTAACTAATGGATTCTTACAAAGTTCCAACTATGTTATTTGTATTTGCTTCGTTTTCATGTTCTGTAAACATTCTTGCGAGACCAAAATCTGATATCTTGGGATTCATGTCGACATCCAACAAAATGTTGCTTGCTTTAAGATCTCGATGAACAATTTTAAATCGTGAATCTTGATGAAGATAAAGGAGTCCTCGAGCAATCCCATGAATGATGTGAAAACGATCTGACCAACCTAGTATCGAACTTTTGATTTTATCTGCCCAATATAAGTTATTGGTATGATTTACATTGTGAAAAAAATTGAAAGGAAGGTGAAGAAACATGTGTCATAGAAAGTAAAATTGTACCAAATATGAATGAATCCACACTTTTGTTAGGCATGTATTCATATATTAACATGTTTTCATCTCCTTGAATGCAATATCCCAAAAGCTTTACAAGATTTCGATGTTGAAGTTTAGCAATGAATTTAACTTCATTTTTAAACTCTCCAAGGCCTTGTCTTGAAGTTTTGGATAATCTTTTCACAGCTATTTCTCTTCCATCATCGAGCATACCCTAAAGATCAAAGGGTATTAATTTCAAATATTGAACACAAAAGTTAGATTTGTTTTACAAATATAAATCATTGAAACGTTTATGAGAATAAAAAGAAATGCAGGTAGCTATGTAAACTGTCTTACTTTGTAAACTGGACCAAAACCACCTTGTCCAAGTTTTTTGTCATTTGCAAAATCATTAGTGGATTTCGATATGGTAGTCAGGCTAAAAGACGTTAACTCTGTATCATCATCTTGGCTCTCCATGATATACTCTTCATCAATAGTTTGCACTGGTACATCAGCAAATGGTAATAACAAACCACACTAATATGTCAATGAATGGTTTACATTTCAAATTATCATATCTGACATTTTCTGAGTTGCTGTATATATAATCAAAGAATTACCTGGTATTTTCACTTGGGTTAGTTTCTTTTTTCTCCAACCATACAAGATTGCTAAAATCAAGATCACCATAACAAGACTAGATAAAATCGACACCACCATTATGGTTGTTTGCCTCTTTTTTTTGGAACGAGGTCTCGAGGTTAATTCCGGGATTGATGGAACTATTAGCAAAACTATAACAAGTTAATAATGTTTGAAACCTTGAACGAACATGAACTGCTATTAGTTGAAAGAACAAGTAAGATTATTAAAAAAAAAAAAAATACACATTAAAAACCCAACTAGACCTTTGAAAGTTGTTTATTATCATGAAAATCAGCTTACTTGTCAAGTCGGAGACAGCCATTCTCACGTAAAGGTCCTGGCTTTCATCAACTGTTCGGATATCCATTAGATCATCGAACCACAGCAAGCATCCGCTTCCATTCATTCGAATATCAATATTCGCATACGCGTTACACGAGCAATTTTGCCTGCATGCTGTCTTACATTCACCAAGTGTCATGTTCCTATTGAACCATGCACGCCGAGTGTCTGGCATTTTAACGTTTTTAAACACTCTAAAGCCATCTCCATTCGGACAACCTAAAGCTGTTCTACGGCGACACCCACTTGACCACTGGGAGGCACTCCATTCGTCTGGGTTTCGTGGTTCGAACCCTTCCATACAACTACAAAGAGGTGAGCTATTCGGGTTGCACCTTCCATATGAACCACACAGTCCGAAACGGCTACACATGTCAATATTCGCGCTCGAGTATAGGAACCACATCTGTGTTCGTTCATTCCAGTTCATTCGTAACGGGATGCCATCTGGAGTTAAGTGGATGTGGGTCACGACTGAACTATTAACAAGTGTGAACCTATAGTACACCTCGTTATCATTCATAATAAAGTCGTGTGTGTATATGGAGTTTGAAATATGACTAGGAATGCCATTGAACGTAAGACCGTTCCATGGTCCAAACCTCGAGAAAGGAACAGAATCTCTTTCTATGAACACCTGTGGGAACCCGTTTGTATTCACGAACCCTACATACAAACCCGGTGAAGGGTCATCGACGCTCTTCCATGACGTCAACCGCCAATCAAACCCAGAGACCAGGTCCTTCCCTAATTTTGTCCCGGGAAGCAACTTGTCTCCCAGGTAATCAAAACTTTGCCAGATGAAACTTTCCTCGCCGGCTGTTCTCACAACCAGATTTCCGGGGTTCAAAAGTTGTGCCACCGGATTTATGGTTGTGAGAGATATCGGACGAGGGTTAGATGACCAGACAATGGTGTTGTTGCTACCTGCCATAACCAATAGGGATCCGTTGTTGTCAACTTTGAAGACACCTGACATATCGGTTATTGGTTTCTGCCTGTTAGCAACCCACACCACTGTCAGTGGTGATTTGTTCTTGTACCATATGCCCAAATACCGGTTTGGATTGTTTCCCGGACTAAAAAATCCGAGTTCATACATTTCATCAGCTGAAACAAGGGTTTGCCCGTCACTGAGAGTTTGATTAGCTGCTATGGTGTCTTGTGCCCTACAAATGCCCAAATCGGACATGATGGCACCAAAAAATAAGAAATAATGAAGGATCACCATTGAAGTTTTCTTTGGAGAATTGTTACGTACTTAATTTTTTCAATTGCAGATTGTTAATTTATTTGGAAGATATTCATTTTGTCAATGAAGGCTGTGGGGGTAAGGGTTGACCTAATGAGTGGTTCTCCAACAGTTTACTCGAAATTTTGGACTTACACTTGAGCTTGCATTTAGTCGACGACACAGCATCACACCCCACAACTAATCCACATGCTAATTAAGTCGGTCATGAGATTACCTTTGACTTTTGGGGAATATAGTTAATTACATTTTATCAGCGCCCTATAAAAATATTGATGTCAAGGGCATTCACATGTCATTGAATTCTAATCGAATTCTAAGAAGTTCAATGAATTGACGCTGGGCGAATCTGGTCGACAATACTTATTTTCCCTTTTACTTAGGCGAAATTTTTTTGATTTTTAGAAGTTTTTTAACTTATTTTTCCTATACCGGGCAATACTATTTCAACTCGGCAACACCTACTATAAATTCTTGCTTGGATTGCCACTAAATTAACATTTTCATTTTTTATTCAATTTTACTCTTTACTGGTCAAACTTCATTAAACCCGACAAAGTTTAATACATTCGCTACAAGGAAAACGATCATTAGCGGCGACAAAAATCATGGGTAATAATTAAGGTTGTCGTTGGTAATAGTAATAACGGCGACGCGTCGCCGGTAATAAGTCGCCGCTACTGCTTCGATGCTATTGATCATATTGTCGCCGCTATTAATAGATGATGCCGCTAGTGACCATGTCGCCGGTAATGAGGTGTGTCGCCGCTAATAACATAGTCGCCGGTAATAATAGTGTCGCCGGTAATAACAATTTTCATTTTTTTAATTAACGGTTTTGGTTGCCGGTAATAATGTCGTCAATAATTACATAACAACATTCGATTAAATATAAAAAATAATAGTGTCGACGTTAATTAGAAAATACACATCCGATTATAATTAATTAAATATCAAAAGTCATAATATCCGATTAAGTATAAAAAGTAATAATGTCGCCTGGTAATTACATAATATCCGATTAAATATAAAAAGTAATAATGTCGTCCGGTATTAGTGTCGCCGGTAATTACAAAAAACAACCAAAGTTTTACAATCTACCAAGTAGCAAAGCGTGACAATGTATGCAAATAAAACTTATCCCTACATGTCATCCTCTTCGTTCCCATCGTTTCCTCGATTATTTTGGAATTGAAAAAACGAATAAAGTTCATCCCCACACGACGGGTCATTGAGCATTGCACGAAAATTTTCCAACTACATAATTAATAACAACATATATAAACTTATAAGTTAAATTATCAAACATAAACAAAAACTATCAAAATACATTGTTATTTTTAAACTAAGACAAAAAACCAAAGTACGTTGTTATTTTTTGCACTTGGGACAAAAAGGTAATTACCAAAGTTTTTAGCAAATAATCACCACAAAACCAAAATTATCAAATCAACATGTATTTTACGATGCTAAAGCAGATTGTTATTTTGAAACGAAGACAAAAAACCAAAGTACGCTGTTATTTTTAGCACTTGGAACAAAAACGTAATTACCAAAGTTTTTAGCAAATAAACACCACAAAACCAAAATTACCAAATCAACATGTATTTTACGATGCTAAAGTATATTGCTATTTTCAAACTAAGATAAAAAACCAAAGTACGTAGTTATTTTTTGCACTTGGGACAAAAACCTAATTACCTAAGTTTTTAGCAAATAATCACCACAAAACCAAAATAACCAAATAAAAAATTTAAAAACTAAAAAAGGCATGAAAATATAAATATGAAACTATAGGTGTCGCCACTAATTCTATAATATATATATATATATATATATATATATATATATATATATATATATATGTATATATATATATATATATATATGTATATATATATATATATATATATATATATATATATATATATATGTGTATGTATATATATATTCCTGAAAATCTAATCACCACGACGTGGTAAGAGCATCACATCGTGGTCCTCATGTATATCCCGTATTCTCCAAGTCAATCTCTAAGATCGCGAAGTTTCGATTTACTACGTCGTGGTAGTGTAACCACGTCGTGTTACTTGGGAATCAACATTTTCTCAGAACACGAAAATCGTCTGAAATTGTTTCTAGTTCTCAAATAATTTTGAATCTCGTCAATCGGAGTTACGGTTCATGAGATATGGACAAAACACTGATAAGGAGTCAAGCTGTCCGGCAACATCCTTTTTGCATCTTTTTAGCTCATTTCTCCTCCTTTTGCATTTCAGCTCCCATTTTAACTGTAATTGAATATTTCAAAGCGAATTAAGTATCTTTTAGTTCTTAATAACATAAAAACATAGTAAAAAATTGTAACATCCCAAAAATACAACCCAATTTTTTTTTTGTTTTAAACATTACTAAAACCATGAAATTAATCATCATATAATAAAACCACAATCACATTTCTCAAATGTAAAAGCGAATGTGTCAAATCAACTGATGTCAAAATATATCCAACATCCGAATAAAACTCCCCGGATAAACTGAAGTTGTGGTGTGTGTCATGCCATCAACCCAAGCTCTTCCCTAACTTGCGGAAGTACCTGAAACCAAAAAACTGAAACTGTAAACAAAGCTTAGTGAGCTCCCCCAAACCACCATATACCATACAATAATACAAATAACACATACTGGGCCCCGCCCACTGCATCGGGCCCCGCCTGACATCGAACCGAAGTTCGGCATAATCTGGGCCCCGCCCGGTATCAGACCGAAGTCCTGAATAACTTAGGCCCCGCCCAGTGCATCGGGCCCCGCTTGGCATCGGACCGAAGTCCGGAATAAACTGGATATAACATATCATTAACATATAGCATAATCACATACTGTATCGGGCTTGCCCGACATCGGACCGAATTCCGGATCATATAACACATATCACAACATGCATGAATCACGAAGACATCAAGCATATATACTACTGCATTGGGCCCCGCCCGGCATCGGACCGAAGTCCGAAACTACTATCATCTAAACGGGTCAACATTGTTGTCGTAGACCCGTTCCTACTGGAAAGAGACTCACCTCGTAACATTAGCAGCTGATATGCTAAATCTAAAACTGTCTGACAGCTGCTCCGGAACTCCCCGGCTACAAATCCCATAAACACTAATTAAATATTGATAACTAATCTCAGGGTAAAATGACTATTTTACCCCTGGTCAAAGTCAACATCCTGGTCAAAGTCAACCTTCAGTTTACCAGACTCGCCGAGTTGGGCCACCAACTCGCCGATCCACTATGACCTAAATCTAATCCTCTACCCGCTTCTACTCGTCGAGTTTGGCAATGACTCGACGAGTTCTTCTTCGATACTAACATCGAGTCTAACTTCATTCGAATCGTCGAGTTGTATGAACAACTCGTCAAGTTCTCCTTCATCATATGAACGTGTCCAGTCGGTGACTCGCCGAGTTGTATGAACAACTCGTCGAGTCTGTTCTTGAGGCATGAACTAACTCGTTGAGTCCAAAGAATGACTCGTCGAGTTTTATGCATGCTATTACAATACAGTCGATTTTAGTGCATCCAAATCATAGATCTGGGCTTCTAGGGCTGGTTTTACACGTAAAGTTTCCAACTTTACGTGCATGCACAAGAGAATGAGGCTTAAACACCAATATTATCCAACAATAAGCACTTAGGGTTTGGAACAAGGCTATATTTGCATAAAGGTAGCTACATTGAGCTCCTAGAGCTCAATAACATCCAGATCTATGGTTTCCTTCCAAAGGAGAGTTAAAATCTCGAGTTTGAATCATATAAAGTTCCAAGATAAGCATAAACAAGCATAAAATAGGGTTTAATGGAAGAATAAACAAGGTGTGAACTTTA